TTCGGCACCATTCATAGCAACTTCCGTAGTTGAGAAAAAAATTGCTGTGGTTGGCCATCGCTGTCACCACCGACGGCAGTCAACTGAAAAAAAGGGGGATGTTCGCTGTCACTGTTGCTGCTGCTGTTGGTGCTAACATGGCTGTTTTTGATATAAATAAGACACTTAGAAAGAAGAGAGGAAGAGGAAGAAAAAAACTCCAAACAGATACTTTCTTGTATTTTTTTTCTGCTTTTTATCAACTTTTCTTCAGTTTTCTTCTTGCTAATTTCATATTATTCTTCTTGCAAATGCACTTTTTCCTTATATTATCTTTCCTTCTATGACTACTTGAGTCCGGACAACGGAAACATGGAAAAAGATAATTCTTTGAAACGTATTTTCAAGCAGTAAGGTTTTTTTATTCACTTGCTGCTTATGTATTTCAATGCTGTTTTTCAATTGTTTTGCTGTTGTTTGGCACAGAATACTTCTTCACTGAAAATTTAAAAAAAAATCTACTCGAGAAATTTAAGAAAAGTTTTATTTTATAAAACTAGATGAAAAAATGCATCAATTTTTCTACTATTTTTTTCTCAGAGAATCTTCTGTGCTCTTCCTTTTCTTTCTTCTTGGAAAAAAATTGTTCTTTTCCTTATTGATTTTCATTTCTTAAAACTCTTTTTTTAACTTTAACTTTGTCTGCTCAATTCTTTCTTTTCTTTTTCTTAATTTTCTTCTCCTCTTTCTTCTGATCCTCCTTCCTGTTTTTTTGATATTCTCCTTTTGTCTTTTCTGTTCTGCAGCTTTGAAAGATTAATCTTTTTTGAAACAGTACAGTGTCAATGCGATAAATAAGCAAACAAACTGTCACGGAAGAAAGCAACAGTTTATTGTTATTGTTTGAATTAGAATTATCATTTTATTTTATACTTAAAATTGAAGACAACTTTTAATTGACCGATCAAAGAGAGGAGAGGAAGAAGAGGGTCGATGGTGGAAAAACTGATAAGGGGAAAAGATAAAAAATGGGTTTTTACAAATCGGTTATTAGTCTTTTTATTGCCGTTCTTACGTCCTTTCTAAAAAGGCAGTAGATACGAAGACAGTTCAAAAATTATGGCTTATAAAGAGTTAAGAAACAATGAATGAAATGAATGAGTTTATAAATGGTTTACTGGCTGGTTGAATAAATAAAGAAATAAATAAATAAATGAGTAAAAAAACAAATAAACAAACAAATAAGTGAGCTAGTCGATATATGAGTGAATGATTGGAGGAGTAGATGAATGAGTGACCGAATAAACAGATGGAAAAATGAGTAAATGAATCAGCAATAAATAGATTAATAAGTACATATAAAAAGAGTAACTTTACTGAGAAGTGACCAAGTTTTACTGGGAGACTAACTTTTTGTTAAAAGGCTCATCCATGAAGCCTCCTTTGTTACCTTATATCTGATCACTGTTGACAAGCCTTTTTGTTGCTTATATTTATCTCTCTGTACATACAAATCTCTATCTATGTATGTGGTTTTGCGTGTCTGCGTGTCGGCGTGTTCGTATGTCTGTTATGTCTGTGTTGTTATTAATACATCTTTCTATTTTTCCTTAAAATCTTCTAGTATTAGAAAAAAAAAGCAATAATTTCGTTGGTATTAGCACTCAAACAGAACTTCAAACAAATGTAAAAATTTCATCGTAGTGTTGCTCTTGACGTTGGTTTCTTCCCTGTTGATAATAATTTTCACCTTACTTTTATTGCGGGCATCCGTGGAGACGAAGGATTGAGGAGAGGGAAGACCTTGGAAAGTAAATTGAACTAAGTAAAAATAACAATGACACGAGTAAAAAGCAGGATATAGAGATGATTATGACGGAAGAGGCTGAGCTAGTTGAAAACAGGAGATGAGGTAAATAAGTGGGGTTGAAATGAATTGAGAGGTGGGGTGAATAGGACAGGGAAGGAAGAAGGCTGAAAAAGCGATGGGAACCAAGAAGAAGGAGGAAAGAAGCGAAGAGGAGGAAGATTTGCAGGAAGAAACTATCAATTCTGTTACCTTAATGTATTTTGCTTTTGCTTTTGTTTTTTTTTCAGCGGTCAAAAATTTTTGACTACCTTGAACTTTGGAATTATAACGGGAGCGGCGATTTGAAAAAGAAAAAGTTGATTTGAAGATAGAATAGAACAAGAATGAAAGAAGAGACAATTCTTTTCTTGTCTTTTTTTTTCATGTAAATGACTACACTGAGAAACAAAAATGTATTGGTATGTAATGTGTGTGTCGTGGAGTGTCTGCGTGTTTATGTATCTCTATTTGTATGCATATGTATATATGTAAGTTGTTTTTCTTTTAGCTTTTTTGTTGCTTTTTTTAGTCTGTTTTGTTTTCCTTTTTTTGTGTCTAGTTTATTTTATTTGTTTGTTTTTTTTATTTTCAGGAATTGGCTTAATGCCCCTTCGACGCGGGAGCCATAGTGGCCAGGATTCTCGGGGCAGTCAGTCGAGCATTCGACGGCGAAAAAGCATCAGCGAAGAGTACCCGAGACCGTCGGTGCTTGGCGGACGTAAGTTATTCGCTTTTATCTAGCCTGTTTACTTCGGTCTACTATTCTACAGTTTCAATCACCTAACTCTTCCTTTTGTTCATTTCTGACCTTCTGAACAACTAATTCATCCTGCCTTGCTACTGTCTCTTTTCATCCAATTGCTTATCGTACTTTACTGATTTCTCGATCAGTTAATTCATATCTTATCTAATCTACACGACCGAAATCGTTAGTGATTACTGAGGTTCAGTTGGTAGGAAGTAAGCTTTATTTAGATATATTTTCAATGAAAAGCGTAAATTTATTTAATACATTTTCTTGACGTTATAGTTAAAAGTATCTATATATGAAAGTAAAAGGAAGATGTAAAATATAAAGACTGAGCTGAGGAAGAGGAAGAAAGCAACTGATAAAGAAAAGAAAAAAATTTTTTATTATTTTTTTCAAGTATAATACTACCAGTGTACATATTGAGAACAAGTACACTTATAT